TGAGGGGGTCACAAGGAGATATATGTTAGATTGAAAATATGTTTTTATAGGAATACTCCTAAATTGAGTTCATTATTGAGGCCTTGTGGTATCATGGTGCCCAATCTATAGATCTACATTTTCTCTTTTTGTAAAAGGATCCTGTCAAAATCACCTCGACGGGGAGATAGGTTTAAGGCATATATAGCTTTGACCTTAAGGCATTCTGGTGACCCGTTATGAAATTCCGTGAAGTGTGTTGCTATTGAACTTTCACAATCCTTTTTCTTAATGTCCCTAATATGTTCACTTATGCGAATCCGCATTTGGCGCTTTGTCTTGCCTATATAGAATTTATGGCAGGGGCATTCCAACTGATAAATAATCCTACTGGAGCTACAGTTGACAAATTGAGTGATATTAAAAAGTGTATTACGTTCAGTATTTTCAAAAGTTTTAGTTTTGTCTACAAATGGGCACATGGGGCATTTGCCGCATGGGTACATGCCAACCGGCCTATTGCTATTTAGGAATGTGGATTTTGAGGAGTTAGGTTTATATTCTGAGTGGACCAGAACATCCCTCAAATTCTGCGATCGACGGGCTGTTAGGAGAGGTCTGTGACCAACAATTTCCGATAGTGCAGGACATAGACCAAAAATATGCCAGTGCTTCATTAGGATTTTCTAAGTCTCTCCCACCCTGAACCATATTTAGTAATCATCCTTACGTGGTTGTTTTTTTGGGTGGTTGTCTCACTATTACTGGGAGTTCCCCCCCCCCCCATAATATTTTGGTTCTTGTTCTTCCTTTTACTTTGGTTTTGCTTTTCTTTAACACTTTGTGTGAATATCCTCATTCCCTGAACCTGCTATTTATGGGCCTCAGATTCATTGACGTAGTCAGCCTCTCTACTGCAGTTATGTTTTATATGGAGAAATTGTCCCGTCGGGATCCCCTGCTTTAAAGGTGGAGGATGATGGCTTTCCGCGTGTAACAAAGTATTGGCTGCAGTTTCTTTACGGAAAGTTTTTGTTATAATTTTATTGTCCTCCACCTTTAGCATTAGTTCCAGAAAGGGGAGTTCAGTGTGACTGGAGGTATACATCAGTTTCATGCAAGCTGCTTTGGGACCCACAACAATGACTGGGCCCGGGGCAACTGCCCCTCTTGCCCCGCATTAAAGACGGTCCTGCTCTGTTCTAGTGACAGTTGAAGTTGGCTATGCAAATCCTGCCTCTCCAAGTCAGGTTTTAGCTCTTCGGATCAGGTTATACATAACAGAAGAGCCTCTGCAAATGGATAGCTGTCAAAAAATAAGTCAAGGCAACTGGGCTTGCTGTATTTTTCTTGAAGACGTTTCACTGGTCATCCAACGAGCTTTCTCAATTCAGAATGACTTGTACAAAAATTATCTGGGAATAAATATGGTGACTGTTGCTCCAATCCGCATAATATGTTAGTCACAACCAGGTGCTGATTGTATTTGCATAATTGGAGCTTGGAGGTGTTATTAACCTGCCCAGAGAGAGGTGTTAAAACAGCATTGTATGTGGCAGACAATAGATGCCCCCCCCCCCATTCAAGCTTGGCTTCTCCATTTTTACATAAATAGCCGCTTTCACAAATCTTTTAAACCAGTCCTCCTCCCTGTCTAGGACCTTTTTCCTGTAGATGTAGGTACACTGCAGAATCCTGACCAGAGTGTTTGGCTCTTCTATGCTGTCCCATACACTGGTGTAGCTGCTGTTTTGTTTCACCGACATACAATTCTGAGCACTCCTCAGTGCACTGGACTGTGTACACTATGTTGTTCATCTTGTGTTTTGGGTTGGGTCTTTTGGGTGAACCAGTTGTTGCCTCAGTCAGTGTATTGCTGGGTTTAAAGCAGACAGGGATGTGATGTTTTTTAAAAACCCTTCTGAGTTTCCCAGACACCACAGCTACATATGGGATGACCACATTCTTCCTTTTGTCATGCTTTTCACCCTCACTGGTACTCTTGGCTTTCTTTCCTCTTCTTTCTGTTTTGACAAAGGCCCAGTCTGGATACCCGCAAGTTTTAAGGGCCCCCCTGAGGTGTTTGAATGCCTTCATCTTGGCCTCTGTGCTGATGGGAATTGTCTCTGCACTGTGGTGTAAAGTCCTGATGACTCCCAGTTTGTGGTCTAGAGGGTGGTGAGAGTCAAATAGCAGGTCTGTGTAAGTTGGTTTTCAGTAGATCTCTATTTCCAGCCTCCTTCCCTCTTCTACTGTTACTAAACAATCCAAAAAAGCCAGACTGTTGTTTTGCATATCTTCCTGCGTAAACTTGATGTTATGGTCCACTGAGGTGATATGGTCAGTGAATGCCTGTAACTCTTGTGTGTGAATCTTAATCCAAGTGTCATCCACATATCATAATACAATCAACACCAGTTTGTGACTAACAGATTATGTGGATGGGAGCAACATTCACCATATTTATTCCCAGATAATTTTTTGTACAGTCATTCTGAATTGAAAAAGCTGGTTGGATAACCAGTGAAACGTCTTCATGAAAAATACAGCAAGTCCAGTTGCCTTGACTTATTTTTTTACAGATATACCATGACCTGGATGAATAAGAACCTTCACAGACACTCTGCAAATAGAGGCAAAAACAACCCTTTTTAGTATATTTTCTTATCTAGTCACAAATAATGTGATACCATATTATGGCTAAGCAAGCCATAGCTAAGAAGCAAAGGAAATAATGATATCATATGTTTCTCAACTCCCTCTAGTGGCCATAATACAGTGTCTTTTTAATAATTTCTACAACTTGTGCTAGTTTAACCCCTTCGTGACTGACGACGTACAGTGTACGTCGCCAGCATCGGGGCTGTTTAAAATTTTGCAGACCAATACAAAATGTCAATACTGCCTTTATGGGATATTTTTAATGGTAAACAGATTGGAGACCAATGGATCCTAAAGAGTTTGACCATATATGAGATTCTGGCTGGTTATTCTATCACTGGATAGGAATATTTTACTAATCTACTGCACCTAGAGACAACATAGCAAGTCAGCTTCATAATGTATTAGTGAAGACAATTTAATACTATGGTAATAAAATGATCATTTATGGATAGTACTGTTTAGATAACATTTCATTTTCCATTTCATCTCCGAAACCATAAGGCAATTGATCTGGCACTAATTATAAAGCATTATAAAATGAATGCAGACTGTTGACACTGGATACGGTGTCTGGTACAAGTGAGTTTACATAGCATGTCAAAAAATTATCTTTGATTTGTTCTTTAATAAAATATATTTGTATTGCTAATATGCATGGTGCTGGGAAATTTAATAAGAGGATGTTATGTTAATTAATTTAGCCAACATATTGGGGTGGATTTATTAAAGGTGTACAGAATGTTCACTTAGAAAACTGAATATTCACCAAGTAAAGAAAGTAAACTCACTTTATATATCCTATCACGTCTAGGGGAATTAGGAAATAAAAGACTATGCCTTGTATATGATGGGATGATGAACACAGCTTCATTGTATACACTAAGCTAAGTGAACATTTTCTACTCATTTAGAAAATCAACCTTTACAATAATTGTCTTTATCAGAGTGCCCCCTCACATTAGTTGCCCCAACTAGAGTGCCCCTTACATTAGTTGACTCCTGTAGAGTTCTCCCTTACATTTGTTGCCCCATCAGAGTGCCCTTTACATTAGCTGTCTCCTTTAGGCCCCATTCACACTGAGCGATTTGCCTTTTGCGCGATATCGCACGTTTGGTGCGCGATATCGCGCAAATGGTTGCATTGAGCAACCTAGAATCACGGCAAAATCCGCTCCAAAAAGGGTCCTGCTGTAGCGACACACGACCCGCGACAGCGACGGACACAGCCCCATTGAGATGCATTGGAGAGCGATATCGCGCTGTAAATATTACCGCGATGAATCGCTCAGTGTGAACGGGGCCTTAGGGTGCCCACACACCTTACGATAATCGCGGGAAATCCCGTGATCGTACGATTATCGTAAGGTGTGTGGAAGCCGTGCGACCTCTACTACTGTAAGGTCGCACGACTTTAAACTTACGAACATGTTTCAAAACCCGCCCAGCATCGTACGATGTTCGGCGGGTGTGTAGCATTTTCGTAAGATAAAAGCCGGACGGGCCGGTGTGCGCAAGCGCACACTGCCCATTCGGCATTGCGGTCATCGGAAACCCGCCCCTCAGGGGGCGTGGCTTGCGATCATCGCAAGTACGATCTGCCTATGCAAGATAGGCAGATCGTACGTTTTTTTAAGTACCTTACGACCATCGCAAGACAAAAGTCTTGCGATGGTTGTAAGGTGTGTGCCTAGCCTTCGAGTTCTCCCTTTACTTTAGTTGTCCCCATCAGAGTGCCCCCTTACATTAGGTGTCCCCATCAGAGTGCCCCCTTACATAATGTGTCCCCATCAGAGTGCCCCCTTACATTAGTTGTTTCCTTTAGAGTTCTCCGTTACAGTAGTTGCCCACATCAGAGTGCCCCCTTACATTAGCTGTCCTGTCCCCATCAGAGTGCCCCCTTACACTAATTGTCCCCATCAGAGTGCCCCCTTACATTAGTTGTCCCCATCAGAGTGCCCCCTTACATTAGGTGTCCCCTTCAGAGTGCCCCCTTACGTTAGGTGTTCCCATCAGGGTGCACCCTTACATTAGGTGTCCCCATCAGAGTGCCCCCTCACGTTAGGTGTCCCCATCAGAGTGCCCCCTTACATTAGGTGTCCCAAAGAAAGTTGTTGGGGGTGACATATCCCATGAGGTCACTTCATTAGCTTTGTGTCCCTAGCAGGAAATCAGCTGACACTATGAACGAGGTGTCCGGACCAGCATCTGTCATGTGTGCCCCCAGCCTACAATCTCCCCCCCGGCTGTCTCCAGGGTGACCGTAGCTGCCAGACAGCATTCAGCACCCTGCATCAAAGCGGCTGCTTGGTAAACAAGAGGGCGGGACATCCGCCGCCCAATCACAGTCAGCGCTGCTGAACTCTTGCGACCTGTCGACCAACCAAAGCTGAGTCACATGTCAAGTCCGGGAAGCGGAAGCTGCGGAGAGAAGTGTGAAGCGGTGTAAACATTGTTCGTGTACGTATATAATTGTGTGCGATGTCTGCTAGTGACGGCCTATGGTCACTCTGTGGGTGCATGTAGAGGAGGGTGAGGGGAGGCGGGCACTTCTGCATGGGAATATTCACATATTGGAAAGTCACCTTATGTACACTTACGCAATGTCACGGAGTCGCGCTGTCCCTTGTATAGTCGTATGTAGGGGGATATAAAGCGGGCAGGATGGCGGAGGAAGAATGTTTAGTCTCCCCATCAGTGTAGGATTGTGGGTGCTGTACATACAGAGCGACCTTGGTTCTGTATAACTGTGATCATGGATGCAGGGCATATTCACTTTCATGTCACCTCCTATGGTGTAATATATGCTCTGCATCCTGATGTCAAGCTTCGATCGCTGGTTATTTTATAAATATGAGTGACAGTCTCCTAGGAATGGTAAATATTTGTCTCTGCAGCTGTCTTTGTATTAGAGTACAGCTCAATTATATAAAATAGAGCTGGTGTATAGGAAGTGTGCAATTACCTTGATGAGGATGTGGGCAAAACATTTGGGCGTCCATCGATACAGATTTCTGCCGCTTTCCTCATTTCTACATCCTGATTTCAGCGGATGTCTGAGTGTTAAAGTGTAGTTCAAGTGGACCTGGTTACAGCTGTCAGAGCTCATCTCTGGGATAAAACAAACTACCTCCCCTTAACACCCCACCAACTGATTGCTGGCATGAAAAAAAACAAAAAACCCCTATCTATTGACTGAAAACGCCGGTCATGTGATCCTCCTGTACCGAATCTCCTATCTTCCTTTGTTTGCATCTGGCATGGTCCTTATTTGGGTGTCCACCTCACTGCCTGCATGACGTGAACATTTCGTGTTGGCTGTCCAGTGGCAGGATCCTCTCAAGATCCAGGGAAGGAGTAACATTGCTAGGGGACTGGCTGGCGAGGGACCATTTGCAGCACTGAATTAGCAGTCCAACGCTAATGGAAGGGGGGCTTAGGTGAGTATAACTTGCTTTACAAGGTAAGGAAAAATAAAACCCTGCAGGGTGGGGAATGGATGGAAGGAAGGGGGTCATATTTGGCCCAAAGTGGGGGCTTTAACATAAAGATATGCCATAAGTAGTGGTAACCCTGGAATTGGTGTGAACGCAGTTCACCTGAGTTTACTCTAGCCTGCTCAAAACTTTGACTACCACCCCCTTCCCTCCTGGCACAATCAGTGGGCCCTGGGTAAATAATGGGTAATAGAAGGACTGAAATATTTACTTTTCTTAGACTGGATCTTCACCCCTTACTGTGTCTCTGCCGCTTTGTGTCTTTTAACCTTATTTAGTATTTATGTCTCTGACCAAAACGTGCTTTATTAATAGTAAGATGTTTCTTTCAGCAAATTGAGTTGTATAGAGGAAGGAGACATTTACTTTAAATGTATGATATTTTGGGGCTTTATGGTCCTTCTTTTGCACATTAGTGGCCATTTTGTGTAATTCAGCTGGGAAAACAGCAGAGTGCTCTTTTGTTGTTTTCTGACAGCCCAGAAGTGAGTATATACGAGTATTGTAAGTGCAGAATTCAAACAAATTGTAAAATTGAGAATGAATGCTAAGCAGATTTTTTTTCCTATTGCATGTTAGAGTTGCATTACAAATATACACTAGGATACTGTAAACATTGTTAACACTATCTAATATTAAAAAGCATTTTCTTTTTCTTCATAATGCATTTACCATTTATCTAAATGCACTTACAAAAGTGTAACATATTGCAGCTTACTACTCCTTTTTTGGGGGGATGGTGTGTAATTTTACATCCCCTAAGTATTACATTCTAGTGTTGTGTGGAATAATGCATGTTGTTTTTTTTGCTACATACATACTTATGTGTAATGTGCAGGGGAATGGAGAATGGGAACGCGTAGTAGCAGTAGCGCAGGAGGAGCTTCGGGGGATTCTCCAGAGGACTCCCACAACAGTTCCGCATCTCGTGGTGGACTTCAGGATGATGATGATGAGGAGAACGTTGACCTGGCGCAGGTACTGGCGTATCTTCTGCGCAGGTAACAACACACCCCACATGTCATGTTATTGCCCTTCAGAAAAACACATCTTCATATGTTTCAGAAATCTCTGGCCTAAACATCCTTATCAGCCAGACTCTTACATCTGGACACTGCCCCGCTTTATAATGGTACAACTTGTGCCTAATTCTCAGTTGCTCCTCCGATTGATATTTTTCTATATCCCCACTTGAGCCCCAATACCCAGACAGACATGTCTTTCCTGTTCAGTAATAAATGAAATATAGCAAAACCAGGTAAACCTTGCATGATAAAAAATATCAACTTTAGCATACTTCCTGAGAGTAATGTATCATGATACTTTCCAATATTTACTTGTATACAAATATGACATTCTATTATCTTAATTATATTGTTGATTAAGGTAGTTTTTCCATATTTGTAATATTGGAGAAGTCCACTCTGGTTGTCTTAAGAGTAAGCTTTGTGGACACATATCCAAAACTAACTGACATAAATAATAAAGTTTGATAATGAGACTTACAGTAGGGTGCCACCGTAAAAATTCTCACTTGACTTGAAATTACATTTTGTGTCATACATTAAATATTCCTCTACTCTTCCTTTTAATAAGAAAGCATAAACCTCATCACCCATTCCATACATCTGCATTTCTCTTGTACCCAATAAAAGGTATGGCTGTTGTTCGACAAGAGTTTTAGAAATATACACTTGAGTGGGCAGATTATTATGATCACCCCATCAGTACTTCGTTGGGCCACCTTTTGCCTTTAATACTGCGGCAATTCTTCTTGGCATTGACTCCACGAGATGTTGAAAGGTGATGTGAGGAATCTTACACCATGCCTGATGAATAGCACTGTCCAGTTCTGTGAGATTTGATGGTTGTGGAACCAGCTGCCTGACGTGTATGGTTGCGTTTGCAAAACTGACGATAATGTTATGTAAGTTTTGCTGCATACAAACATCATGCCATGGGCATTACATTCTTGAAATCATTCAGCAGAATGACAAAGCCAGGCCACCTCTGAGGTGTGTACACTGAAATTATCAGATGTAAGATAATTCTCCCTGTCAGCTATGACTGCGTGAACTGATAAGGAAGGGCAGCAGCTTGATTTTAGATGTAAAGCAGGTATAAAGGCTGAGTCAATTATATAGTGTTGTTCTAGTTTACATATATATTGTTAAAGCCCAGTTGTTCTTTAAAAAAAACAAAACACAAAAGTCAGGCTGCATGAAAACACTAAGAGGTGTATTTATAAGCAATTCGCAGAGCCATTTGTCCTGCACAATTCTGTGGACATTAGCTCTGTGAGAATGTAGGCAAACATGGACACTCATAATACATTTTCTTTTCAAATCGAATGTAATATTAGGAAAGTGCCACATTATGGCCACTAGATGGAGAGGAAGAGCATAGGAAATAAGTATTTATTTGTTAATTCCTCAGCTCCTTTTTGTGGTCATAATGCGGTATTTTCCTAATGAGTTGAATATATTACTCTTTCCCCAGCAGAAAACTCTTATTCTTCCCGGAGGCTGCAGCCTCCGTGTGCTGCAATCAGCAATGGACATGCTCCTTGCTGATTGCGGCACTATAGTGGGGACAAGGTGAGGCATGTAGAACCAGAGAGCACAACGTGTACAGAGAGCTTTTACAGTCTCACATACAGCGTGTACGGTTGGGTTATATTTATACATTCTGGTTAAAGGGAATGTATAGTGGTTTTGTATATATTTTCTTTAACCCCTTCATGACCGAGGCCTTTTTTCTTTTTTTTGCACCCATGTTATAATCCACATTTTAGGCCTGAAAATTACATAAAACCCGCAAACATAATATATTTTCTGAAAGCCAAGACCCTATAGAATAAAATGGTGGCAGTTGCAAATGTTTATGTTGCACGGTATTAGCGCAACTCTTTATCAATACCCCAAAATTTTGTGAAAAATGCACTCAAATGCCCCAAAACACAATAAAATACCAATTTTTTAAAATAAAATATAACAGATGAGGTACAACGAGTAAATAAATACCCAACATGCTCAGCTTAAAAATTGTGTGCGTCCGTGAAACTACAACAAAATTAATTACCCCAAAAAGTCCATAGACGACGCTTTAAAAGCCCCTACAGGTCATCAGTTTAGAGAAATGCATAACTATTGGCCCTAGAATAATTGTTCTCACTCTGGCGTGCACGGCGATACCCAACATGTGTAGCGCAATCATCGTTTATATAGATAGGCCCACCCGACGCGTGTTTACGTTAATACGCATGTGCTTGCGGGGGACTTTATTTTTTTAAATTATTTTTACATTTAATTTAATATTATTGTTAAAAACTGTATTTTTTTCACTTTACTTTAACCCCTTCATGACTGAGGCCTCATTTTTTGCACCCATGTTATATTCCACATTTTAGGCCTGAAAATTACTTAAAACCCCCCAACATTATATATTTTCTGAATGCCAAGACCCTATACAATATAATGGTGGTAGTTGCACATTTTTATGTTGCGCAATATTAGCGCAACTCCTTATTAAACCCCAAAATTTAGTGATAAATTGAATTAAATGCCCCAAAACACAACAAAATACCCATTTTTTAAATGAAATATAAAAGATGAGGTTACAACGAGTAAAACGATACCCAACATGCCCAGTTTACAAATTGCGTGCGTCCGTGAAACGGCGACAACTGCAGTACCCCAAAAAGTCCACAGAAGACGCTTTAAAAGCGCCCACAGGTCATCAATTTAGAGATGGCCCAAAATACTGGCCCTAGAATTATTGCTCTCACTCCGGCGTGCGTGGCATTTTTTATTAATATTATTAGATTTATTTGATTTGATTTTAATTTTAAAAACTGTTTTTTTTTAAAACTTTACTTTGACTGCTATCACATGGGGGGGCTTACAAGCCTGTTGTAGACTGTTGTAAAGCCGACAGTCGGCTTTACAAGTTTAAACAGAGTCCCGGCGGCAAAAGTCGCCGGGAGTCTGTTTAAACAGCCCCGATGCTGGCGACGTACACTGTACGTCGTCAGTCACAAAGGGGTTAATTGCTATCACATAGGGGGGCTTACAAGCCCCCCATTTGATAGCATATTGGTGGTGACAGGTCCTCTTTGAGGTGATTGTTGGGGTCAAAAAGACCCCTAGTATGACCTTTCCACTTTAAATAAGCTATTGGAGTGCAGATCACACTTCAATGGCTTATGGCAATGGCTTATTGCTGGGCTTCAAGAGCCCAGCACTGACAGCTATGGGACCGGAAGTGATGTAATCTGCAGTTTACCGGCCCTTAGAAGCGATCTGGCAACAGCTGAGTCGCCAGAATCGCTGCTATTGTAAAGCTCATAGTCGGGAAAAGCCGCCGGCAGTCTGTTCAAAGGGCCCGATGCCAGTGACGTACGATGTACGTCACTGGTCATGAAGGGGTTAATATTTATAGTCTGGAAAAAATGTTTCTTCTAGTTAAGTAAATATTGCCGGTGAATACTGCCAGCAGCCGATGCTCCTCAGTTTCTTTTCATCTTTTTTCTGGACTATCCTTACCTCCTTTTCTTAAGAGAGCCTGATTACAGAGCTCAAAAGCTCAAGCTAAAATGAAGACAAGCTTCTGCTATACTCTGTCTTTAGCTAATCCATAGTGCTCTGTAAACCTTCTGTCGCTGGTATACCCCATTTTAAATATTTATTTGTAAAATAAAACCGCTATAATAAATAGTACAAGATCAGCTGTAAAAATATCTTACCTTACCTATAAACAAAATAAAATTAAGCCAAAGCCATTATATCTCCCCTTTAATAGTCTGCTGCCATGTATAGAGAATATAATGATAGAGCTGTTGTTTTGTTCATTCGTGTAGAGTGCTCAGTATAAAGCTCATCACTGCAAGCTACACAAAAGCAAACATTTTTGAACTGTGCATCAAATTTAGTTGTAAGGCCTTATGAACATTACTTTTTTTAATATCAAAAGTCCAGGAAAGGCATCACAAAAATTCCGCTATATTATTCATTTCTGCTCTTGTTCACGTCTCACCACCCATTTGATTGTGTACACACTTACATTGACAATTCCAGAATATCAACATACAGCTGAGTTGCATCCAAACGACTTTCCATTTCCCATCATCTTCTTTTCATTCATAGTTCCCTTCCCCAGAGAGAAGTGACTACAAAACAGAGTTGTGGTATTTTGTCTGATATATTGAGTCCTGTCTGTATATCCACAGAGGGCAAGTACGGCTAGTTCAGGGAGGAATTCCTGCAAGTGTGCATCTGATACAGTCCCTATCGGATTCTGATGATGACAATGACAGTGCTTGGGAGGGATGCTTGGGAGATCGCTACAACCCCCCTGGTAAGTGAATTTTCAGGACCATGGTGTCTGTTTTCAGCACCATTTCAACACAAAGCTTTTGACAGTTGTAGGTATTCGTTCATGTCACTGTAACCCCCTTCCCGACTGATGATGGAATTATTCCATCATGGTCTTTCAGTTCATTAAAGACCGGTGACGGAATAAAATCCGTCATGCGGTACAATGAGCACTGGTCCATAGAGGGACCAGCGCTTATTGCGTTAATGCTGTTGCTGGGTCCCTCAGTGTCTGGGGCAGACCCTCAACAGCAATTTAGGAGGTCCCACAATGGTGATCACCTCGCTGTGACAGCCACTGAGCCGGCTTGCTGCTGCAAGCCAGATCAGTGGATTACCAAAGTGACACAAAGTATCTCTGAGGAGAATGCAGTATCTCCTCAGAATACCTAAACTGGCCATACACCTTTAAATTATCTGCAGCTTTTCTATGGTCAGATGGAAAAAGTGTAACAGATTCCTCCATCTACGCTAAACTGTGTGGATGGAGGAATCTCCCACTGGGCCCAGCTTCAGTATCTTTCTAGTCGGCCCCACTGGCTCTCAAAACACCTGAACAATGCCTGCATCCAATCAGATTGTTCAGGTGTTTTGACAGCCAGCTGGGCCGACTAACAAGATACTGAAGCTTGGCCCAGTGGGAGATTCCTCCATCCACACAGTTTAGTGCAGATGGATAGCGTAGATGGTAGATGCCCATAGAAAATCTGCAGATTATCTATAGCTGTATGGCCAGCTCAAGTATTAAAAGCCCCTGTATATAAAAAAATAACCCTTTAGTGCCCCCCTGTTTTTAAAAAAAAAAAGTTTAAGATTTTTTTTTAAATTTTCTAAAATTTGTAAAAAAAAATTTTTTTAAAGATTCCGAAAATATAGTGCTGAGGAGGCTGTTAAAGATAGGAGACAAACATACCACATTCTAAAATTGTATTTCACTGCTTGTATTTTGTGACCTGTAACACCCAAAATAAACTGAAATCCCAGACATATGATATACCCTATAAATCAGGACAAATAAAATAATTTATTATGAATTACTTTCAGTTAGCTACACTAATTATGTACACACTATTATTGCTCAAACTTTGAAAAACTTCTTTTTTTTTGTATTTGTTATAAAGAAAATAATAATCTATATATGCATATGTCACATCAAATTAAAGCCTATTTTGTCCTTTAACAAAATGGTATATAATATGTGTAGGTGCAATGAATGAGGAAGATGGAAATTATGGTAAAACATGCACATAGCAAAAATGGCAAAATTGCTCCGGTCCCCTGAAACGAACACATTTTCTGAAGCTGTGTCACTAAGGGGTTAAAGGACTTGTCAAAACTGTGTTGTGTTTATTTACTAACCCAATGTTTATTTGGTGAATGAGTAGGGGTAACAACTACCCCTTACTGTTTCACAAGGGGGGCATCATCTGGGTGCCCCCCTTTAAGAAAGGGGGGACCCAGATTCAGATAAGCCCCCCTGCCTGCAGACCCCCACAACCACAGGGCCAGGGTTGTGGTGAAGAGGCCCTTGTGTAGGTGCAATGAATGAGGAAGCTGAAATTTATGGTTAAACAAACAAAATTGTTCCGGTCCCCGGGAATGAAAACATTTTCTGCAGCTGTGTCACTAAGGGGTTAAATGTACATATAATCCAATGTAGCAGTTCATTGTCAATAAACTTACATTGGTAGACATGAACAAGATTAAAGTAGAATTAAACCCTCAGTAGTTGAACAAAAAAAAACCAGAACAGTGTATGCCCAGCTTGGCAGTAACAATAACATAAACCAATTACTCAGCTTAGATTGCATAGATAGAAAGTGAGGATAACTTATAAACAGGGTTTGAAAAATGTTAGGGTGTCTCACCAGTCAGTCAAAAATGTCACCATTCAGCACAGTAAAAAAACAAAGTTTCCCTACGTTATGTTATAAAATCCTTAATTATTACCAATATTTTTTGGTAAAACATAAAAGATGCGGTCACGTCGGGTACATAGACACCAAACATGTCAAGCCTTAAAATTGCGTGCGCCCGCAAAATCGCAAAAAAATGACCACACTGAAAATCGGCCATATACGATGCTTGAAACGCTTTACCGCTCATCAGTTTAGTGTTATCAGTAATTAATGGCCCTAAAATTATTGCTCACACTCCGACTTTCGCGGTTATATGTAACATGTGCGGCACAATAGGCGCAATCGTTGTTTTCGCACGTAGGCACACCCAACTCATATCTACATGTGTATGTGGGGGGCGGAGGACTTAAAAAAAATATATAATTTTTATTTTTTCATTTTTTTTAATGCTTCTTTCATTTTTTATTTTTTTTACACAACTTTATTGCTATCACATGGGGGGCTAAGAAGCCCCATATTTAATAGCCAATTTACATGACAGGTTCTCTTTATGAAGACATCAGGGGTCTCCAAGACCCCTAATGTCACCTAGGGACCCCCCAGAGAAGCTTATGAAGCACAGATCTGTTTCATCAGCTTCTGTAGCTGGAAAGTGACACTGAATGCAGGAAGTGATGTAATATACATCACTTCCTGCATTCCAGGACTGGAGAGTAGATCAAAGGGAGTTCGTGTACTGAACTCACTTTGATCTCCTGTCACAGAGCCGTGCCGGTCCCGGCCGCATCGGGCACAGCGGATCTCAGGACCAGCAACGGCAGTGACAGCTGCAGGTAATACAAGTGATCAGGCATCTCGAGACGCTCGATCGCTTGAATGTAAAGGTGCCGGCCGTGTAATTACAACGGCCGGGAAGCTGCTCGTCGGGCTCCACCGTCCTCTCGTCGCAGACGAGTGGATTTTTCAAGCCCTGCTTATAAATGTTCTACTTTGTCTGGAGTATTTTGTGACCCAGTGACAAAGTGGTGCTGCTTCTCCAGTGAAGGTTGGTGCCCTGGCTGTGCTATCTGGTAGGGATGCTGGATGACACAACTAGCAGGTGCACAGAAATCTACATCCTTTGATAGGTTAAGCCGTGCCCATATATTTATTTCAACTGGAAAGTTAGCTGCTTGTCTGGAGTTTAGGGCTTGAATGGAGAATTTAGATGGATGGCTGATTTGCCATCCACTTCGTTCTCCAACAAAGGTAAAGCAGCGGATTCTCCAGTTGCTGTTCTGCTTGATAGCAAATAGTTACTACATAATCATTTTCGGAGCAGATGAGTTTCTGCAATTGTTTCATTGACTATTTTTCTTTGGTGTATCTTTTATTAACCCCTTCATGACTGAGACCCTTTTTTCAATTTTTGCACCCATGTTATATTCCACATTTTAGGCCTGAAAATGACGTAAAACCCCCCAACATTATATATTTTCTGAATGATCCCCCTTATTTTTATAATGACAACAAAGACACCTTTTAGAAATGTTTAGTAATGGCAATCTACATACAGATACTTCTAGATAATTGCTGGCTTTGTATTCTTTCACTTATTTATTTTCCTCACATTGTCCATTTTCATTAAAAGCAGAACTCTGGGTAAAAATTGTATTAACCCTTGCATTGGGGCTACCCCCGCACTGCAAGGGTTCAGTGCTCGTTTATTGCCTATGTTAAAAAAGAAAAAAAAGTTTTACTCACTCGATCCTCCGAGCCGGCTTGCTCTTAGACCCGTCCCTCTCTCCCTGTCCGCTGCAGCGGTCTAAGGTCTCTCAGCTATCGCTTTCTATTCTCTGTGTATAGGCTGTAAGTGCCAGTTCACACCATATGCAGTTGTGATGCAGTCCGTTTATTTGACTGCTGCAGTCAAAATCCATTACAATGCTTTCCTATGGGCTTTCTTGTTCTTTATTCACACCATTGCAGTGTGAATTAAGCACAAGAAAGACCATAGGAAAGCGTTGTAATGGATTTTGACTTCCTGGAACACTTGCACATGTGAGTGAAACATGTGACAGTGTACATTGTCAGAGAGGGGAAAAAAGGATCTTCCCCGAGATCTTGGGAGATTTTGCAGTTACGAATGAGATTTCCTGGCAATGCACTGCTAATATAACCTTCCCAGAATACGTCTCTTAGGCCCGACTTGCATCACTAATGCACAAGAGTACCATGAAGTAGAAAAACAATCATTTTAAGTAAATTCAAAATATGTTTGTTTTGTTTTATGGAAAATATTTTGTATGCTTTTGTTGCTTTTTTTTCTTTTCTTTTGCTACCTCCTGTAGCTGATTCAGCTCCAGACACTGCTGCACTGGATCAGAGCCAGATCAGAACCCAGGTTCTGCTTGCAACAGGGAGGTTAGGAGGACGCACAGAGCAGAATATTACCCGACAGCTGTTGGAGGTAAGCCGTTCACTTTGTTTAAGGTAACCGTTTTATGTTGTCATGCATACACACATTACATTTATGATTTACATAAGCTGCTTTCCCCTCTAAACCCATCTCTGAGCAGAAGTCACCAAATTCTGCAGGTACTTTCGTTTGTTAAAGTTAATTTGTTCTTTTCACGCATTGCTGAGACTCAAAACATAACAGAAAGAAACTTGACCTGTTTTATCTGCCTTTCTTACAGTTTTCCCTTTTTATGGGTGAATCTTTTATTGCTGCATGATACCTTGATTACAAAGTCTAACTTCTGTATAGCCCAAATGACCTTTTTTCATTCTTTACAGCACAAGTAGCCAAACGTCGGCCCTCTAGCTGTGGTGAAACTTTCAAATCCCGCTAGGCATTTCAAAACTCTAACACACATGACTTCCACAGGCAAATGCGTGATGGAATTTGTCGTTTCACCACAGCTGGAGGGCCATAGTTTGCCTGTCCCTTCTCTACAGTATCATAGACCTATAGATATCCATGAATCTGATTGTAATGCAATCTCAAGGAAACCTATAATGGTTTTGGGTAAGATGTACGCATACAATGTTTGTTTTACAAATACGTTTTGAAATGAACTTTTCCTATAATATAAACAATTCCTAACCCACTGTGGAGAACACGGCACAAGTACTAGGATGACTTGGGATGAGTCCCTGCTCCTGACCTTTTTCACTTGTGTGTATTGAGCTTTTGAGCTCTATAAACAACAGTTTTTTCACAACAGCTGGTAAAGCTTAGTAGAAAACATGCAGATAAAAGCTAAGCGCTCTACATGCTGGCCAGGGCTCTCAGCTTCTTTAAAAAAACATTGTGGCATAGATTGGCATACTCGTTCCTATCTTTGCATTTCTCTTTTATCTTAGGGAGAGACATAGTATAACTTTAAAGATCAGCCCAGAAACTAGACCCGCTGCAATCAGTCAAAAAAAACATACTATAAGGTCTTTGGCAAGTCTACTTTAAAGCAATGCACACAACACTTTAAAAGCCCTTTCCTATTGAATTAAAGGGGGCTTGCCACATTATAGGTTACTGCAGGGCAAGTCTCCTGACTACACATTGCATCTTTACCTGGGAGAGATGTATATATAATCCTATTGCATACTATGGCATGTGGATTTCTTCAGTTAGTCTGTTGTGTCAGGGCAATAAATCACTCTTGGTGAATATATACTTCAAAGCCCCAGAGCAAACATGCTACAAATCTTCAATAAAGTCGTCCTCATTTCCATATTTTGGAGCAAGCTTTTTACCAGCCTCTAAAGCAGGGGTAGCAAACCTCCGGCATTCCAGCTGTTGGGAAACTACAAATCCCACAATGCATCTCTCTTCGGGAGTCGTGGCTGTGAGAATCTTGCAATGCCTCCTGGGATTTGTAGTTCCACCACAGCTGGAGGGCCGGAGGTTTGCTACATCTGCTCTAAAGCATAGATGGACCAGTATCAGTATATTATGCCTACACAGGGCTTCTTCTACTGTTAGGTAGAGGTCCTCTTTAAAGTGGACCTATACTCAAATGTTAACATAAAGCTATATGAACAATTTTGCTAAGATGGATATAATGTATAGGGAGTAATAGAATAGGCTGAAGTACTTTCTTTAAGAACATGCTGCTTTACATTCTCTTCTGTGCTGCATATATAACCAGACGCCTAGGCATTTGGTTACATGATCTCTGCTGAAGGATTACATTTTAGATTGGCTTCCTTTCTTTCAACAGAGATCATTAGACCAGGTTCCTAGGATTTTGCATGTGTGCAGCCCTGTAGAAAACATGGAGCAGCATTTTCTCCTGGAAGGATTAGTATTTGAGACCATTATTGTTCATATAGCTATCCCAACAAAACTGCTAATGTGGCTTTAAAGCAAACCTGTGGTGACATCTGATGTAACAAACTAAGAGCTGCATTCTTTTTATGCTGTCGTCTAGAGCTCCAGTGTTGCCTTCACATTGTGAAAATAGTGACTTTCTGAAAGTCTTTTTTTGTATAACAGGCAACTACCCACATAGGTTTGCTGTCCTGTTGGAAGGCCATTCAGATGTCGGATATTAAAAGGAGTTGTTGGGGGCATTTTCTCCACAGTGGGAATGTGGAGATGTTTCAGGCAGCGCAGGAGCTGCACATTGCTACAGAAAAGGCACGAGATCCAGCTTATGCTGTTAGCTGCCAGATGCAGATCTTATTTTATTCCATTAGGTGTCGCCAAATGTTTATTTTTAGTTAGCATGTAAGTATGGCCCCACTATCCATAGATTTTGTTTGAGAGTCATAACCTGCCTGCATTATAATGGATCTGATTGCTTATGATTATTATTTCATGATTATACTTGACCAACGTTCTTTCTTTCATTGTTTTTATAATCAGAGAGTGCGAGGGGGGTGTGGTTTTTCTCACGGAGAGCGCTGCCGTATGACATCAAAGTGAGTGTTCTCAAATTAGCAATAAAATAGAATTTTACTCTAAGCATATTCCATTTGACAGGGAGAGAAATAAATTGCTGTCTAAACCTGTCCCTTTTATTGCAGTTTTCTGCCAAACAGTGTGTCTGCCACAGATTCATATTCCCAGAAGGCATTCTGTGGAGTATATTCCAAAGATGGTGCAATCTTTATGTCGGCTTGCCAGGGTATGATGCTTCTTCCATTTTGCTATATTGTTAAGAGTTTTTTTAGGCATTTTAAATGAATTTGACCTTGTTTAACTCTGGAGCTTCCTCTGTCCTACTCGTTATCTTTACATATACCTCTACTTCCATTCTCTTCTGTTACATGCAGAATTATATGTAACAGTTTAGCAGCTGTGCCTGTATGCAGTGTATACTTTGTGCCCATAGCTGTTCATCGCAATGTCAAAGGAAAGTGTCAAAGTCATGCTTAGCAGCCAGATTGTACTTTTCATCTTCTGGGCTTGTGAGAAAATAAAAGCCTAAATCTTATTAGATGCTGTAGGCAGCAACTCAACTTTTCCTTCAGTCTTAATTAATTAGGCAGTGCCTACATGACTACCCAATAGCATTAAGATTGCTGTTACTGCAAGCAAAATGCTCAAATATCCTAGAGACAGTAACTAATTAGATGTTTGCAGAACTACAATGGCATTACCTATCCAAATATCTTCATCCTTATAAAGTGCAAAAGGTGACATTGGAGACTAATTGCAGGTGGCAAATCCATTTTTGAGGGCAAGTTTACTTTTGCATAATGCACAGTTCCCATTCCTTGTATGCAGCAAAGGGAAATAGTTAAATCATGTTTCTAACCTTTTATTAAAAGCTGAAATCTCAGTTGCATATGTTTGCAAATATAAGGAGAAACACTCAAACAACTAACAAGTTTCTTCTGCAAGTGTAATTCATACACTGACAAGGAAGGTACAAGCAATGGAATGTATATAGCTTTGGCTAAATTGGGTACAGCAGTACACAAGATCCAGACTCGCAGAGGGCATCTAAAGGCCTTTCTTGTCTTTACCAGATGCTACCTTCTGACCCAGTCCTGCCTACCTAACCTCTGTCACACATTTGCTGGGTCTATTTCTTTTGGGAACACTGGTTCCTCTGTTCTGAAAAAAGCTTTGATGGAACAACTTGCAGTATGATTCGCTGTCTGTGGTTAATAGAAATTAGTTTGGGTGGAAATCCTCCAGCTCATTTGTGAGAGAAAGATATGGTGGATGTAGAACCTTAAGACTAAAATGATTTGTGAGTAAGAGTGAGTTAGACTGTTAAGTTTCTCTGCAACACCTTCAGATTACTAATGTTTTCCTTCTGTCATATAGGTTCCCTACCTCTCCCCATGTAGCTTTAATTTTTTGTTTTGTCTTAGATCAAAATATTCGCCTCTATGACTGCCGGTATGGCGCCTTCAAGAAATTCCGAACTGTGAGGGCCAGAGATGTGGGCTGGAGCGTGCTTGATGTGGCTTTTACTCCAGATGGAGGGCACTTCTTGTACTCCAGCTGGTCTGATTACAGTCAGTATAAATACTGCTTTCTTCTATCTATGCTTAGAAATATCAGTCAGCTGGATTAATAATGGTGTATGGAGAACAAAAATATAACATTTTATATAATAGCACAGAGGGTAAACAGAGTGAAACCTTTCTTTAGTGTAGTTGTTGTCTGAGGGCTTGTTCACACAATGTCCGGATTCTGTCCTGACCAGAACAGTTCGCTCCTGCACTAAAAATGCATCCCAGTGTATCCCTATGTGTTTTATGGGCTCCAGTTCTCACCAGCACAGTCCGTTCTGCAATACTGCATGTCACATCTCTTCAAAGCTTATTTGAAATTTTAGTATAAAACAGCGAAACATATGCCAGGTGCGTAAAAAAGAAAAGATGTACAAAGTCTAATTGTTAGTTGTCTTCAGAAAGCAGCCACAGCCTGAGTAGAAAAGCCTATCCCCTGCCAACATGCTGTAGAGAAGGATGCTTGCTCTCTTTGAGAATGCAGAGGTCTGACATCCTCTTCTCCTGCAAAGTCAGACTAGCTCTGCAGTCAGCAAAGCGCATGCTCCCTGCTTATTGGAGAGCTCTAGCTCTGACTCAGCAGGGGCCGTGTTTGACCTCTCCAGAAAGATCACTGTGTTCTCACAGAGAGCTGGGTCCTTCTCTACAGCATGTTAGTAGGGGGCAGGAGTTCCTAAAGAAAACAAAATGTAAGAGATTGCACACCTTTTGTTTCGATGCACCTGGAAAGTATTTAGCTAATTTCAAATGGGATTTAAAGCAAATCAGAAAAGCAGTAAATATCCTAAGCTACATTTTATCGATTGTTCAGTGTTAAGGTGCCCATACACTGCACGATTCTTGTACGAGAATCGCGGGAAATCGTGCAGTGTATGGAAGCCGTGCGACCGTTTTTACTGTACTGTACATGCTCCTTAGACAAAAGACGTGCGACCGTACAGTAAAAACGGTTGCACGTCTTTTGTCTAAGGAGCATGTTCGAAAACCAGCCGAAAATCTTATGATTTTCGGCTGGTTTGTGGCATGCTCGGGAGACAAATGCCAAACGGGCCGGTATGCGCACGCGCACACTGCCCGTTCAGCATTGCGATCATCGCAAGTACGATCTGCCTGTCCAAGATGGGCAGATCGTACGTTTTTTTAAATCACTTTACAACCATCGCAAAACTAAGGTCTTGTGATGGTTGTTTGAGTGTATGGCCACCTTTTAGAGTGATGGTGTTTTGTTTCCAAAGTATTCTTCCTAATGTTACTGTCATTTTAATTGCCTTTGCATCACCTATCTGTGTTAAAAAAAAAAAGACAAAAATTGGTTCATAATCGAATACTTTCTACAAAATATTCAATAATTGCTTAAGAAAATTACGCAATTCTGTTAGATGACCTGGCGATGTTTAACGAAAATCTAGCTAGGGTTAAGATTCACTTGGATGCGTATTTGGGATTCTGCCGATTTAAAAAGGGTGTATAAACAGCAACCCACTTCATATTGCCGATATAAACAGACAATGTTTACAACATGTTTATACATATAAGCTAGTAGATTTTAGCATGAGCATTCATATGAAAAATCTCATCAGAATATTCAACAATGCCATCAGAGATTTTACAAATGACGTTCCATATTTTGTTTGATTTTAAAATTTTGTTTTGGTTGGTTCTTCTTTGAGAAAAAAATGTAAATCCGCTCTTTTTTTATTTTCTTTCTTTTTTTCTGTAATATGGTCAAAATCAATCATAGGATTAACCCCATTAACTATTAGAAAATCAGATAAATGTTCCTAAAACATTTATTTTCGAAAGTCTACTGGAGTGTGGAGAGCTAAAGACTCTATTGGAACTCTGAATGTAGCCATACACACTGATATTTTCCTAAGGATTTTAAGCCCCATTGCAGCCAAATAGTTTTAATCAGAGCTGGGGAAGGGTTAAAACCTCCATCAGGTTTTTATTGCTGGCTATGTTTACTTGGGGAGATTCCCTTCACATCCTGTCTATTGGACAGTGTCCCCATTGCAAAATCTTTACAACGGGGACACAGACAAGAGTGACACATTTTTAGTAGATCTCCTCAATGGGCACAAAGACAACAACTGAAACCCAACAGAGGCTGTAAACCTTCATTACTATACACAAAATGTTTTTGGAGCAGGGCGTTAAGCTTCAGTTAGTGTGAGATCACTACATATACAGTGTGTGTGTGTATGTATGTATAAATATATATATATATATATATATATATATATACACAGTATATAGTGTTTTGTTTGGGGAGGAGGGTGGGTTGGTGGTTCTGCATGTAGCAGTCTTTATCGTGGTTTTTGTTGTTGAAACTGCTTTTGCTACCTGTATAATGGCTGTTATACAGGAAGCAATAGCACTTTCAAAAACCAATGATTGGACAACTAATATTGATAAAAACTAAAAACATCAGTGTGTGTAACACTGGTACAACCCACCAATGTATGTTATAATGTACTTTTTAATCTCATTTTAGTTCATGTCTGCAACATATATGGTGAGCCGGAGTCACACACTGCGCTGGATCTCTGGTAATGACTTTAAAGAAAACCTGCACTGGGAGAAAAATGTAGGCTGCCATTCACTGACCTGTCTATGAAAAATACTAGTTTTTTGGCTGCCTCTGTCAATCCTTTTGTTTCTCTGACCTGAAAAAAACGATGCAGTCAGTGGATTAGCATGGCCACCAGGCTTTTTCAGAATGAGGTCAGCAGTATCAGCCTACATATTTCTCTCAGTGCAGGTTTACTTAACATTTTGAGATATTTAATGTATACTTTACACTACATTTTATGGTACTTAAAATTAAACTTTATCTGTATTTTTTTACTGCCTTGTTATTCGCAGTCCCTCAGAGCGACGTTTTGCTGTTTTCTCTCTTACTGTGTCTTGCGATGGACGGGAAGTGCTTGGCGGGTGAGTCATTATTAGAAATAAAAGGCATGAAAAAGGAAGGTTAATGAGAAATACATATACCCACACTAGGATGATTATAAGCAATGTACTGTGTGTATATACTGTATAAGGAAATAGACCTTTTCCATGTCTCTCACTGTGGGTGAACTACAAGGACATTTCAGAAGGGGATTTTAATATAATAATGGTGGTGCATTGATTGCAGGTTATATTTGGTCTTCAACAGTGTCAATTCACTTTTTTTTTTACAGAGCCAATGATGGATGTGTGTATGTGTATGACCGAGAACAAAACCGTCGAACCCTAAAGGTAGAATCTGCCTTGGTCGTTCCTGTTACTTCTATCCACAGCATTAATGGTGGCAAGGTTTTCTCTCTTTCCTATCATGGGAATAGGGAACTTAAATTCCAGCTAGTTCAATAATAGCACACACAGCGTGCTTATCTATGCAATATCATAAACAATTTCTCTACCTGGATTCCAAGATATTTTCACTTTTTAAGCCATTTTGTGTCTAAAGTTTGCTTATTGAGCTTCCATAAAAGACTTCAAGACTATAGCGGGACTATATAACATTTAAATGCACACACCTCAAGATGCCTGCAGTTCAGTTTTAGACCAGGTCGGGTTAACTTTTTGCTAAAAGGAATTAAGGGCAATAGTATAATTGTAGAATTCTAGAACAATAAATCAGTTGAGTGTTGGAAAGCAGTGGTCCGCACTGCAGGTGGAAGATTTATTTTTTTATATGAATATTTTACATAAACTAAGTTTCCAGTTATGTTTCTGTGTTAGTGCAATAACAAAGCATATATTCTGTATCACAGAAAAGATGTTATAGTATGCATTTATTGTCACCTATCAGTGGCCTACTTTGAGGATAGTAACTTCTTGCTTACAGCTTTGATAGGAGTGCCATCCATATAACTGCCGGAGTAGTTGTTTTTTTTTGTTTGGCATCTTATTGTAAGATCATTTTTTTAAATGCTGAACTTGTTTATCCAGATTGACTCTCACGAAGATGATGTGAATGCTGTTGCATTTGCCGATGACAGCTGCCACATTCTGTATTCTGGAGGAGATGACGCCCTGTGTAAAGTGTGGGACCGTCGCACAATGCGAGAAGATGATCCCAAACCAGTGGGGGTGTTAGCTGGACATCAAGATGGGATCACCTTCATTGACAGCAAGGTGAGAACAAGGCAATACTTCTGATGTCACCAATTTTTGCTCTTTATTATTTATAAATAATATGAAATAATCAAAAATATTTTGCTCTGTTCTCTTACCCCAAGTGTTTGCCTGATGCAAATGTTTGTTCACTCATTAAAGCATCATTGGTCATCATCTCCTCTGCCAACCTTATCTGAATTCTTGTAAAACTCTGTACAGTAACTTTTTCTTTACTGCTTCTTTGTACAACGATCTGTCGGTTTGTTGTTACTTTGACCAACTCGTTGTTGTGCTTTTTTTTATATACACAGGGAGATGCACGGTATCTCCTTTCTAATTCCAAAGACCAGAGCATTAAACTGTGGGACATCAGGCGGTTTTCAGGACCAGAGGGACTTGAAGCCTCACGCAGAGCCGTAACACAGCAAAATTGGGATTACAGGTGGCAGCAGGTGCCCAAAAGAGGTAAGACAATGCCACATAGATTCCTAGAAACATTTACAGGGTTATTCTTAAAAGGGTGAAGAGTTTGGAGAAGGCAGGAAAAGTGAACAATCTCGGACAGCATAGCGGAACTGGAAAGGGAGCTGAATTGGAGAATTTTTCCAAATCGGCTATTTTGGCCTAGATTATTTTCTTCTCCTGTCTTCTCCGAACTCTTCACCCTTTTCTGAATAACCCTGTTTAGTTTTAAGTCAAGTTTAATTGCCTACAATCTAGAGTTACATATACTGTATAAAAATAACCGCAATGAAGATGGTTGCTATAGTTGCAATAGCTATCTTGATTGCAATGTTCCAGGAGATAGCAAAGTGGTGCGCACAGTTACTGCCTGACCAGTATATTGATATTTTTTCAGCTCTCAGGAAGAAACGCCTTTCCGGCGACACATCTCTGATGACTTACCGTGGCCATGGAGTCTTACACACTTTGATCAGATGTCACTTCTCCCCTGCTTACAGTACTGGTCAGCAGTATGTGTACAGTGGGTGTTCTACTGGTCGAGTTGTCGGTATGTAAAGACACGGTTATCTCTATAATCAGCCATGCGGATAACTTTAGTATCACAGGCTTTATTTTTCTAAGCAAGCTAATTGATGGCACATTATATGGAGACAACCAGTATCTGTGTTTTTGTTTAGCTTTATCTTCCAAGCTAAAACTATGTAGTTGAATTTAAAAATGTTTTTAAAGTAAACCTTTCTTGAGAGATGTTTGGATGCTGTTTTTGTTGACCTCCTTCTTACCTAGCTTTTATGCTGACCTTCTAGCTTTAATACTTTCACTGTCTATAAATCATTGGCTGGGAACAAGTATGCAGATCAAGAGCGCCGGAGTAAAGTCACACATACTAATCTGTCTATTTATTCCAATTCAGTAACTAAAAAAGTAGGGAAATAAGAGAGCAAGTATGACAGTCAGGAAACTAGTTTCTGATAATGGAGGGGGTCAAAGTTGACTATAAATTCTTGTGTTTTGTTTTATGTTTTTTTCTAGCAATGTTTAGTACTTTTTGGCTTTTATTGTTTATTTGACAAAAATTGTGGTACTGTACTATACATGTTGGTGAATGCAGCCATAATGATGAAAGCAAATATCTTTTTGATGGCACAGTTTAAGTGCTGACATATTGTCTTTGTTTTCCTTTCTTACAGTATATGATTTGTTGACGGGTCAGATAGTGAAGAAACTGACCAACCACAAGGCATGTGTGCGGGATGTGAGCTGGCATCCATGTGAGACCAAGCTTGTGAGCAGCTCTGTAAGTCATTATAAGAAAGGGGTATTCTAAATCAGTACTGGCTGTCATGAGCCCCACTGACCTGGTAAACCTTGCAGCTGTTAGTCTGTAAAGGACAGGTCTGTAAAGATTGTCTGTAACTGCTTGGTATAGGACATACCAACCTTTTTATTTGGTGGAGGCCACAACTGCTGCCTGACGAATCAGAAAGCAGTGCAGTTTCACCATGAGAAAAAGCATATTTGATAATGACACGTTATATCTTCAATTGATAATCCTCATATATTAATTAGTCATTTATTAGGCCAGTGTGGTCTGTATTGCTTAACACAGGTGATCATTCTGTTCTAGGTAACCTCTAAGTGGCAGGTGGAGGGACTATTTAAGATTTCCTACAATATTTCAGAATTACAAAGGAAGCCTGGAGAAGTCCTGTTTTTTTTTGTTTTTTTTAATGTTTTTGTTGGAAAACGTCCTCTAGGCCCAGTCATATGTGGTGCTTTCAACATTGCATGTGAAACAGGAAAAAAATTACTGTTACACTTTCAACTGGTACTAGGCTGTCCACTTTTAGGGTGGCCAAGCACTGGCTAATGTCTTACCAAGGACAATAAGGAGCCGTTCACACCTGATCACAATGCTCCAAAGCTCACGTGTTGTCTTGTGTGGAGGTACATGGCAAAGGAAGTTGGTCATCCAGCTAATTTGATAGCCGTACCAGTAATTTCATCAAACTACATTTACGCTTACTTTGATAAATGGGCAGAATGGAATTAAAGCCTCCAATAAGGACCGAATCTCTTATTATAGTCCGATGTTGAATGACTCCTGTTATTCCAGTATGAGCTCAATACTTGGTTGCTGTATGCCCACTTCTTCTGGGTACTGTTAATGATCTGGCCTGCACTGATTGGTTGAGTCTGCCATATTTTAAGGTGTATGTGCCGTTTTATTGTCTAGGATAAGAACAGTCCTTTTATCTAAATAATTCTTTAAAAAAATAAACTCTTTACAACCATTGTTGTTTATATTTGTTTGCACTTGCATGTCATGCCTCTGCTTGAGTGAGTGTTATATACATGCCTTTATTCCTTATCCCTGTGTGATCTTTACATCTCTCTCATTGCAGTGGGATGGCACCGTTCGTGTCTGGGAACACCAGCAGTCTGAGTTTTATGAAGATGACCTGCATATCCCACCAATGGACCCTGACTGCAGCCCCGCCAGCAGCTCTAGCTCCTGGTAGCCCCCTGGCCTGCCTGACATTCTTTTAGAGAATGTGAAGTCTGATGGATAGATCAACAAATAATGTGGGGTTTGTGTGAATGTGGTACTGAATGTAAGGTTGTGTTTTTTAGGATCTGGTAACCTAAAAAGACTGCAGAGGTCATGTAAATGGACCTCTGTAGCAGGCGTTACAAAACTGGTGGTGGGCTTCTTGGTGGGACATGGCAGCACCTGTTGGTGACATGTGGAGAAGAGATAGTACTGAAATGAATTTGTTGTGTTCCTGACTTCTATATCTTGAATAAACATGTCCGAAATCTTTGATATTTTGGCATTTTTTCTAGCATTCATGTGGTCACTGTGTAGAGCAGTGTTTGTCAGCAACTAGGCCGCGGCCTTCCTCCTGTTGGGCTGAAGCATTACAAATGTCATAGTGGTCTTAGAGTGTTTACGTAACTGGCAGATATATTTTCTGTCCGCCTGCACTGAATGCTTTCCCCACGCCGAACCAATGCTTTGCAGCCTCTACTGTCACGGTCTCAGCAGCACCACTGTGTTTGTTTACATTTGTAAAAGTACAATTTGCATAGATATCCCACATAGAGTGGGCATTGCAGCGCACACTCTTTATAGGTCCCCACTGTTTCTTCCCCTTCCTGATCTTTCTCCCTTTACACAGTGCACCTTATTGCCTCTTCATTATTTGGGACTTGCCTGCTGCTGCTCCCTTTCTGCCTTTGTGCAGGCTGCCACTGTGAGGTGGGGAGGTGTTTCTCTAACTCAGCATTGCAGCTCTTCCTTGTCCTACTTCCTGCTCCGGTTGAGGCAAGCACCACTTACCAGGTAGGTCAACACAAATGTAAATAAACAGAGCAGTACTGCTCAGACTGTGACAGCAGTAGTTGTCAAGCAGCGGTTCAAATGGGTGAAAGCATTCAGTGGAGGCAGACAAAAATAAGATCAGTCGGCTCCATGAACACTTTAAGACCACTATGACATCTGTGAAGCTGCAGCCCAGTAGAAGGAAGGCTGTGGCCAAGCACCTCTAGCCAGGTTCTTGACAAACATGGTCATAATCTTTATTTAAATTGCAGTAACTTATATTTTGTTGTATATTTCTCCCACTTTAATACATTTTAAATACATATTTCACATTCTCATGCTTTTGTTATATGAATATAAACTTTTTTTTGTACTGTTGGGGCATTGAAGCTTTTTGAAAGAATTTGCTGGACCCTGTACTCACAAAGGTTGAGAACCACTAGTGTAGGGAATCTATATGGTAGTCACATATTTCTTTTATGTCCATACAACCTGTGGGCTGAACAAAGAAAATATCACACTTTCCTCCATTAACGCTTGAGTGTTGATCGAGGAATCTACCGCTGTTTACATTGTATTTTGACAGCAGCCACTGTCAGAATACAGGAACAGAGCCGTCAGCTGACTGGCTCCCCGCTCTGTTTGGCCAAAGATTTTCCGACTGGCTCCTTCGATCAGATGATCGAGGGATGCTGGCCCAAAAGGTTCTGGCCCTGACAGCGGCACCCACTGTGCGAATTCTGGCCAGTTCATCAAAAACAGGCCAAAATTTGCATAGTCTATGGCCACCTTTAGTAAGGTGATTGTACCTATAATCATAATGTATTTACCATAATGGCTTTTTTTGGGGGGAGGGGGAGGGGGAGGGATTGGCACTAACCTTAAAGTGTAGTTGCATGTTTGCAGCCAAATCTGGCACAACTCACTATTTTTGTTTTGTGTTCCTATTCACACAGCATACCTAAAATAGTAAAAAAAAGATCTATTTCCTTTCTAGGTGTTTTATTGGACCAGGCCTCTGGCCCACTGCAAGCTACTCTGAGCAATTTAAAAATGAAAGTGGAAAGGGGTACTGTGGGACAGACTGGGTTTCCCCCTCATTAACATACCATTGCCATGTGAATGGGAACATGTAACAACCAGAATAGAGGGGACATTTTCCAATGGCAGTGACAACTGTCGGGGAGCATTTTCCTCACTTTGGAGTGGTTTCCTCTAACTTCCTGTTGTGTCTACAGTACGGGAAGTGAAAGGACATCTCCCTAGTGGGACACAGATGGCAAAACCCTGTTTGGTTTCAGCCATTCCCCACTCTATCCAAAATCTAAAAAAAGGTTTTGGTTTTAGATATAATCTAATTGTTTTGAAATCTTGCAAGGTTTCTCTTGGATCATTGCGTTGCTAGGCCTGCAGTTACTGTCAATTGGGATTTAGGCTACATTACCTCTGAAATGTAGACAATCTATTTTTTTATGGGAAAATGGAACCAGTCACAGTGTATTTCTATTACGTTGGCAAATTCGTTGGCATACTATTTCTAGTATGTTGGCAAATCTGAATGATTACAAGCATTTCCAATGTCAGTATATGCATGTTCACTGTGTGGTAATAACACATTCCAGTTATGTTAAGTGCTTCAATTGCTTAGATCACTGTATAGGCAACCTTATCAATGCTGTAAAAGGAAACCTATATGAAAACTGCCAGTGCTGGCTTCTTCTAAAAATTCCAGTTGCCTGGCTGTCATGTTAACCTACTTGCTTCCAAACATACTTAGTTACTGATCTGGAAATAGCATTCAGAGCAGAAGATCCAGCCTCTTATGCCGTATGTTTACATTGGATCATTGGCTCTAAATGTATTGAAGATAAAGACATGCAAGCTTATAGATTCTTCAGAAAGCCGCCAGCAATGGCAGCCTCCATATTTCTCTCAGTACAGATTTGCGATACACATACACAACACATTTGTGTTTATTTTTCAGCCACACTTTCTTTACCAAGAGTCCATTGAACTGTATCATCACCAAGTGTCTCAGGTTATTAGTTGATTCAAAGTATGAAAAATGCATGATTTTAAAACAAGAAGTAAAGAATGTTTGTGACAGATTTAAAGCTCTTGGGTCATAACATCAAATTAGGTTTCTTGTTTTATTTTTACAGTGCGGGTTTGAAAATAAAACAGATACAATCTGATTAGTGAGTATGATGAACAACCCTAATTTCCTTTCCTGGAGTTTTCCCCAAATCAGGACTGTTATGTTTTTACAGTCTGTTGTGAGACAATAATGCTAACATATCGCAAGATTCAGTAGTATACAGTATGACAACACTAAGCTAACAATAATTGTTCTAGGGCTTTTGCCTTTGACACATTATACACTGAAGCCCACAATTAAAACACAACTCGTCATCACTTTAAGGGAGTTGTAAAATCCCAGCACATCCTATATCCCATATCCTATTATAACATCAGCATTGTGATAGGAATACATACTAGAGATGTTTTTCATAATGCAATCAAAGCTTACTTGAAAAAAATCCCTTTTATGTAGTGAGTGCTGCCTTCTGCCTGCCCATCACTTTCATCAACTTCCTGGAATCTCAATGTGCTTTACATCTCTTTCCCTGCTGCTTGATGTGATGCAATCTTGATTTCTGAAGACTACATATCCCATCATGTATTGCTTCCAGCAAGCAATGATAATGTTACATTATTCAGATGTTGAATCCACAACCACCACGTTTTCAGGATAATGTTACAAGGCTAAGACGGTGAGTTGTAGTTCAGAAGGCAGGCATAGTTAGAGTGGTGACACAGGAAAGTGCATATTCATAGGGCTGAGTGAAAATGTGTCACTGCATTGAGGAAGTACATCCTATGGCTTATTTTGTAAAGCTTTGTGCAAACTGTTGGTGCTATAAAAATCCTGTATTATTATTATAATAATATGGTCATCTTCAATAAGTAAGTTTACAATTTTCCAGATCGATATGGATATTACTAGTGGGATAGAACTTATGAAAATTCAGTATAGAAATACATGTTTATTTTATTTACCATATCTATCTATCTGTCTATCTATCTATCTATCTATCTATCTATCTCTCTATCTATCTCTCTATCATGTAAATCTACAAATACATATTGTATATAAAAGTGGTCTGTTATATTGGTGGTAGAACATTATATTGGTAGTAGAACATAATATACTGTTTATGCATGGTATGTTTCTTATTGCATATATTTTACAGTTATATTTCTTTCTTTCATTGTTGATGTTCTTCACTCAATGAGCTTCTTTCTATGACAAGGCCCTACAAATATACTACTGGGGATTGCCAGAGAACAACTAACAGTAACAGGTACTTCCCAAAAAGTATCGCTGTTGCCTCTGCATTAAAACAGTGTCATGATCCTATACAGTGTGTCATGGACAGGGTCCCAGTGTCATGTGTGAGGAACTCAGCAGCTGATAGGGGGATGGGATTTGTAGCGTCCTTCGTGGGGGGGTGAAGGGCAGGATAACAGCTGTTGTGGAGAAGACCCTGATCAGTGTGGTTCTCTGTTTGTGTGATTTGTGTCTGTTGCTTCATGTCTCCCATTTAAGCCTGTGCTGTGATATGAATGTCTGCCTAATGGTCATTTGCTGCTTCTCTGTTCTGTGCTGTAGTCTCGCTTTTGCTTATGTAGCACCTTTTTCTGCAGTTTTTTCATCCACTTTGTCATTATTACTTCACTCAGCCTTTCGCTAGCACTTTTCTCCCACTTCTGCACAGGACATCTTACCCTGTGCTCATCAGTTCCATCTGTCTAGCTTTTGGTACCTCTTCTGACATGGATGCACTAACAAACTGTATTTGTGCGTTGGTATGTATCTGCTCACAGCTGTGTGCCCGCATACTGGGCAGTGTGTGTATGAGAAGAGGGTATCACTTGTGGCTGGCTGCAGTGGTCAGTGTGACCCCATTCCTTCAGGGACTTAGTAACCCCCGCAGCATTTTCTCCAACTCCAACAACTTCTTCAATATGTGAGTATATTTTTTATGCATGGACGTGTGACTATGGGCATATAGTAAATGGGATAGTAACAATGTGAGGGATTAGTGTATGGAACATTAAGAAGCAGTAGATACAAAACAAGTGCAATGGCATTTTCCAGGTATTCTTATACATATTGGGCTTTTTGTCTAATAGAAGGAAAGAAAAAAAATAAAGGCCTTGACTAGCATAATGAATCCAGTGACTGCTTTCATTTAGCATCCTGCACTTTAGAAATGTCAGTATGGATCATATTGGCTGGTATGGGAAACAAACCTCTCTACTCATTTCCTACAGTGTTTTTTAGACTCAAGGCCTCCTGTGATCATTTAAAATTAAATTCAGACACCTAAAAGTACAAAGATATTTCCAGACATCTAATTCAGTGTTCTAGGCCTGCCTGTTTTTTTGTTTTGTTTTCAACAGGCTGCAGCCCTGCGTGAATTCCGTTAACATTCATT